AATATAATTGGGGAAATACTAAACGCCACTGACCTCATTTCCTTTAGAACAATGAGAATTAATAGTTGCACGTTTTATTAGGCTGATATTCCAGATGTAGTGTACATTTAATTAAGTGTAGTTTCCTTTTGGTTATGGTATGTGGCTCTGCTTTTTGTCGCAAATTCTTTCTAGTTTTACAGTTTTCCACATGTTTTCTTTCACCATTTATGATTTTTTCAAAGCGGGGCTATAAGGATTTAAATCACTTTAGCATGCAGCAAAACAGTTCCCATTCAAACAATAAACGCCATTTTAAAAAGCCTTTAGATCTTCTGTCACTTCATAAATATAAATGTATAAAAACATTATGCAGTTGTAGTGCCCACCTGCTAATTAAATGCAGATTTCCTCAAACTTGTTTTAAAATCCTCTTATTTGTTTCAACTCAGTCTCTGCTCAGAATACATATGGCCCTTGTGAAACTAATTATGCTTATGGAGCAGCTGTTAAATTTAGTGCAACTAATTTTATCCAATATTTTACATTTTAATTGATTACCTGTGAAGAAATTAGCAAATTAACACTTATTGTGCAGTAACTGAATGGGCTTTTATGGAGACTTTCAATTTTTACAAGCGGCCCGAGTGCTGATGGAATAAAGCCATTTCTTAGGGTTGGAGATAGGGAAGTTATTGGTGAGCCTTGATTATCTGGTGTGAGAATTTAGGGATCCCGAGTGATGCCAAGCATCTGTGTGTTCTGCAACTTAGACATGAAAAGCAGATTGGAAAGTAATGGCTTTTCACAGAATTTTGGGAACATATGGGCTTATCTGGATCTAAGAAGCCTTTGAAGATCTTTGAACTTGACTAAATGACTTAACCTTTGGCATGGTGGGTGGGTGTTTTGGGTGTCGTTGGGGGGGAAGGGGATCCATGCTGGAAATCTCCTCTACAGCTTCATTTCTTGGTGGTTTTTTTTTTTTTTCCCCTCTGGTAGTTCCATAATTTGAACATTTGGGGTCTTGCTTTAATAGGACTAATTGTGATTCTTGTTATTTTTCAACAGCAGATAAAATAGAAAATCTGTCTTCTCTGCCAGATCTGTGGACTTTTGTTGTGGTTTGGTGATGAGCTGGGGGCACAGATGACTTTTGGGAGCTCCATTTCAGGAAGTTTTATCTTGATTTCCTGTCCTGTAGATCTTGCAAGATACTTTAATAGGAATTAAGGAACAGTACAGAGAGACTCTTCCCAAGGCCATGGAGTGATGGGACAAGTGGGAATGGCCTGAAGCTGGTGGAGGGGAGGTTTAGATGGGATATTGGGAAGGAAGTCATCCCTGTGAGGGTGGTGGGACACTGGGGACACAGTGCCATGGCAGGGACACCTTCCACTGTCCCAGGGAGCTCCAGTCCCCGCCTTGGACACTGCCAGGGATGCGGAAATTTGATGCAAGAACTCCTTTAATTTTTAAAAGCTGTTTCCTGTATATAAATGTCACCTGCCACCAGTTCTGCACAGATATGGGAATGAGCAGAAATTCAGTTATTGAGCATCCAGCCTGCCTGAGCTGAGTTTGTTTTTGGCACCTGCAAAAGGTAGAACGGAACTCCAGTTCAGATTTGAGCTGATAAACTGGAGTTCTTTAGCAAGAAATATTTTAGATTCCCGTTATTCCTGGTGGGAGGACTGTGCCATTAAGTGAGGAGAGGCCCTGCATCAATTAAGGGTGATTTGTGTTGCTACAGGACTTTGCTTATTTTGTTGTTTGGGGTTTATTTTCTGTTTTGGACTTACCTGCAGAGTTCTGAGAAGCCAGTGTTACCTGGGAATAGTGGATTTAGGGCAGTGCTCTGTAAATCTGTGCTGCCTCATCGTGATGTTTGTAAAAACAGTGTCTCTGTGCCAAACAAAAATTAGATTGAATATCTAGAATGCTCTTTAAAATCAAAACTTCCTCTACCTGAGGAGTAAGGATGGATGGATGTTTGCTTTTACATTTGTGATGACACACTAAAAATCCATTTTGAGCCAGCAAATGCTCTCCAGTTAAGAATCCAGCACTGCAGTGGTAATTTGATCTATTTATTAGTGTTAATAGAGTGACCAGGATGGGAGAGCTGCTGTTGGAAGGTACCAGCTGCTGAAACAGGAACCCAGCCCTGACCTCTGGAGCTGCTCCTGGCAGGAATAGGGACCTGAACTCCCATGTGCTGGACAAATTCCAGAAATGTAATTTATAGCCTCATCTGGAGGGAGGATTTTCTTTTGCTTAGTCTATTGTTGAGTTTTATTAAGCAGTTGTTGTTTCATAAAAGGAGGGATTTTGTCTGTGTGATTTGGCTTTTAAAGGCCTTGGGAGTTTTGCACTCCAAGAAGTGCTAAAGAAACTTTTAATGCTGTTTTAAAAATTTCCCCATTTCCCTCAGTACTTAGTGGAACTTTTCCATGCGGTGCCATCAGAACTTTCATGGGAATCATGGAATTGTAGAGTCATGGGATGGTTTGGGTTGGGAGGGACCTTAAAGCCCATCTCATTCCATCACCTGCCATGGGAGGGACACATTCCAAAGGCCAGGGTGCTCAGGCAAGAGAAACCAAGGAAAACTTGACCTGATTTTTCCTAAATATCCCTTGTCCACTCAGGCAGCATTGATCCATGATAAATTATTAAATAAAACTTAGAAAATCTTCTACAAGAAATTCAGGAATAATGAAATCATTTTGTACACACAAAGAACCAGCCCTAATACTTCTGGATCTTTTTTTCTGTTCTGTTAATGGATTAATCAGTTGTGTGTTTTATTTTGCATCTCTTTTCAGAGCAGGAGCCATGTTGTCTTTTTATCTTCTTTTGCTAAGTTGTCAGTTTAAAGGTATTAAATTGTGACATGTGCTACATTATTAGATGTATTTATTAAATGTATTGAAATTAAATAATAAAATAAAACTGTAACAAGGCTGAGGTGCAGTGCTGGTGAGAAATGGCTGATGGGTTGTTCTGATGATGAAATTTGGTAATTGTGAACCAGGGCAGTAAGATCTCTGAGATTTTCACTTTAGACCTTTATAGCATTTTTAAAAGTGTTTGTATTCAGGGCTGAGTAGCCACAAGCTTCTAAAACCTGGAGATCAAACCCTTGGTAGCAAACTGAGCCTGCTGATGTCTGACTTCACTCACTCTGGTTTTTGGAGAAGAAAATTATCTAGATGTCTCTGTAGGGCAAGGCAGAGGAATTGATGGTACTGTTAGACTAATTTGGTATTTTACACTATGGGAATCCTTTTTGTCTGCCTAGAAGCAGCTTCTTTCTCTAGTGAAGAAGAACCTTCCTTCACTATCTTCTCACAAGAGTTTTGGTGACTCCTCTTCTGCTTGTTTAGATAATCCAATATATCCTGTAAAAAGATTTAAACTGTTTTAATCAGAATCTCTTCAGTTGCTGTGGGGTCTTTTTTTCCTGTCAGTCCACCTGATGCCTCAGGATTTAGCTTTTATATTTTCCAGATTCTGTACTGCATTATAACAGTATATATATAACTCTGAACTCCATATAAAGTGCCAGCAGCTCTCCTCTCAGCTCAGGCACACAGAGCAATCCTCTTCCAGCCCCAGAACCAAGGACACCGCTGCAGCTTCAGCCCAACAGTGCAAACAGCAGGGAATGGAGGGGAGCAGCCTGGGAGGGTGGGACTGCAGAGCCTGGGGCTGGAATTGGACAGGGAACCCAACGTGGAAATGGACCAAAACTTATAAAAGTGTGAGAACTCCTGACTCGGGGTCCATCTTGGGCAGAGCCTCAACCAGGCTCTTGTGCTGCCCAGAGTGTATCCTTTAAAGGCCTTTTAATAAATCCCTGCTTGATCCCTTTATCATTCCCAGCCTCTGTTCCAGGTGGCCTCTTTGGGCATCAGAGTCACCATCCCTGGATGTGTTAAAAGCAGACTGGGTGTGGCACTCAGTGCCAGGTTTAGTTGGGCTGTTAGGGCTGGGTTGAACTCGATCTTGGAGTGTTGGAACCCTGGCTGCTGAGAATTTCAGACTTTCTGTGCTGACAAGGCACTGACCCCTAAGAGAACACTGCATTGACTTCATGCCATGGAGAAGGCTTCCAAAATGGAATGATAGAACTGGGATTGTGGGGGTGGAGTTTGGCACTGTCCAGGGTGGGAAACTGAGAGTTTGGGATTTTAGAATTTAGTGATACATATATAAAGCAAGATGGAGGTTTTGGGGTGGAGGCTGGTCCTTCTTCATGGGTTTGGGTGGTATTTTGTAATTGGATAGAAAAGTGGATGCATTGTGGACTTTGAGGGATCAGTTACTGGGTTAAAAATGAAAATAATTTAGGTGTCATTTCCTAACTGGATAGTTTAGCCTTAAAAGTATAGTAAGGTAGTTAGCCATGTGGTAGGGTGTTAGTAGAATGCTGCAGTATGGAGAGGCTTGATAGCTGGCTTGCAAGCAAAGTTGAGTTAATAGAAGAAATAACAATTGATGATTTTTGACTGTATCCACAGCAAGGAAGAAGAGCAAGGCTGTCAGCATGGGAACAGATTAAAAAAGATACATGATCATTTTTGTAAGCTAGGCGACTTGCATAAGTAGATGTGCATACATGTCTTATTAAATTTCTGTAAAACTTTTGCTAATTATATTGACATTAATTGCTTTGCAGCAGTAAATATAATACTTTATTGAACATAGATATGTAATGATTATAATAAGTTAACATGTTCTAAAATTAATGACAACTTGATGTGGTTAATGACTTAAGATCACGCTTTGTTAAGAGTATGTGATCTGGAGAACACGCAGGATAAAAACCCTGATCGCGTGTGTGTGCATGTCACATCCAACCTAACAGTGACACTGCAGGGCTCACAGCTCTTAATATAGATGAGAAATACTAAACACCTGAGCCTGGGCATGGAATGCCATCTCTGGCACTTTGCTCCTGAGCTGAAAGGAAGCCAGAAGCAGCAGTGGAGTTGTCCAACTCTGTGGTTCCGCAGGTCGCGCTCGCGGGCCCGGCAGCGCTCGTACAGCCGCAGCAGCGAGAGGTCCGGCCACAGGAGAACCCCCAGCGGGTCCCGGGAGCGCCGCAAGGCCAGGGACAAGGACAAGGCCAAGGACAAGGGCAAGGGGAAGGACAAGGAGACCCACGGCACCAAGGCTGGGTGAGTGAAACGCCAAATGATGCAGCTGGAGCGAAACCGGGCAGCGACGCGGGTACTTTCACTCTTGTGATAATTTTCCTTAAATTGTATTTTCTATGTAAATTCAGAATATTTGAAGGGTGGGGAGTTATTCAGACTGTTTGGAGGGTGGGGTTTGTGGGGGTTTGCAGTTCTGCAATGTGGCAGTGTTTTGCTCTAAGTGTGGTTTAATTTTCTACCCTTTCCCTCCCCGCTTGGTTTCAGGTGAGTTAAAGAGCTGTCTGCACTTTTTTAATATTAACATTCTTCCCATATGCAATAGCCATAATTTAGGGGGAAAACGAGGAATATTGGGAAGCATGAGGGCTTCTTCCTAGCAGAAGATGTGTTTCACTGCTCACACGCACCTACACCTCCTCCCAGTGGCAGGAGTTCCTCCTGGGCTTTGCTTGAGGCTCAAAATGCAGTTCCAGCACAAACCTTGCTCTGGGTGAACGATGGGAACCCTTGAGAACCTGCTGTCAGTCCAATTTCTGCTTGGAATGACTTCGGTTGTTGATGTCAGATTGCAGGAAAGACAATGTAATTTTTTACATGTATGTAATTTATGTAATTCCCTCTGTTTATACATAATGCTCCTGTGCAGCCTTTCCTGGGCTGTCTTTTCCCTCTTTGTCTGATCCCTTCCAGAAAAAGCCTGCTGATGTGTCACTTCATGACCTTCCCTTGGGTGGATTCCCACTGAAAAATGCTCCTGGGGAATTTCTAGAGCAGCATCTTCCACCCACATGTGGGCTTCTGTTGGCTTCTGGAACTTTCCCTTTGTTCCCTGCAGCAGCAGGAAAATTCCTCGTTAAGTTGGATCCAGTTTGGACTCTCCAAGCAGATTAATTTCTAGACCCAGAGTCTGGAAAGTCTCATTACAGAGCCCTTCCAGAACCTCCAGCATCAGGGAATCTGTAGTGGCAACAATCCTGTGGCCTCAGTATTTGAGCAGATCCATCCTCAAAGGCACCTCAAGGACCAGGTCTGGTTCCCAGTTTAAATTCATGGCTGTTTGCAATGTATTTATTCAAAATAGCTGCTTTGGAGCTGTAATGAAGATCAGCCTGAAGCCACATTGTGGGAAGAAGGGACATAAATTCTCAGGTGCTGCTTGACTTTATAGTTTAACTTTGCATAAAAGGAGGTATTTCAGCTTGGCAGCACTGCAGCTTATCTGAGAGATGTTGTATATTTGGGGCTTTACTGCTCCTCTAAAGCACAGAATCAAAATGCATTTTTTTTCCACTAATTAAGCAGCAAATTTGTGGCTCCTGTGAACCCTAATGATGATTTTCTGTCCTTGGCTTGCCTGTGTTTGTAGATGTGATGGGTCTGTGCTTGGGGTTTTTTTGGGGCAGCTTTAGATTCATTCACAGTAAACATCTCAAGAGAAATTTCAAAAGTAAAAAAAAAAAGGAAATTATTTTAAAAAAGTATTCTGGGCATTGTGCTTTGGCATTGCCTGTTTCAGTGATGATTCTCTAACGCTGAGAACTGAATTTCTGGAGTGCTGGAGAAGCACCAGCTGTTCATGAGGTGGGCTGTGAAACTCTTACACCCTGAAATGTTTTAAGGGTTGTTCCACTTGTCCAGCCATTATGGAGGGAAATCCTGCAGCAGCTGCTGGGAATGTGGGCTGGGAGCTCCAGGGAGTTCCCTCCACCCCCAAATCCCACCTTTAGACCAACAACATCTACATGCAGGAAGCCTTCAGCTGTCCAAGTCTGCAGAAGAGAGGGTTTTACAGTACTACAATGTTTTCCCACTATTTTTTTTGTACTAATCAAAGCATTGCATTCATCTTTTATTTATGCTTTTTGAAATTGGCTTGTTTTAAAACAACCTGCATGCATGTCTTCATTGACCTGGATGGGTGTGCTGTTGAATTTTGATGTTTCAAGTCTTGAACAGCTTCAAAACATGCAAATTCTGTTGTTCTGAGATGTGTTTTTCATAAGGCTCCCTGTTCATTGTTAAACTGGGGGGAAAGCTACTAAAAGCTTGTTAGTTTTAAATAACTTTTCCTAGATTTATGTCTCATCGTTGCTTGTGTGCTAGTGGAATTTGGGATTACTTCTCCAAGTGATTTTGACAATTTTTAATGGAATAAATTAAGAGCAGCTCCTCGGTTGTTAAGAGAAGAGAAGTGGTGAACCATTTATCAACCTGACCACTGGTTTAATTGCTGATCCTTAATAAGGTTATTGATAAATTTTGGCATTAATGGTTTCACAGCTTCCTAAATACTTTGACAGATCCCAGAATCCTGGAATGTTTTGGGCTGGACAGACCTTAAATCCCATAAAATCTCATTCCACCTTCTGCCATGGCAGGGCCACCTTCCATGGACCAGATTGCTCCAGGTGGCCTTGGGCACTGCCAGGGATCCAGGGGCAGCCACAGCTCCTCTGGGCACCCTGTGCCAGTCCCTTCCCACTCTCCCATCAAACAATTCCTTCCCTAAATCCCATCTCTTCCCCCTGGTAGTGGGAGCCATTCCCTGTGTCCTGTCAGTATTACAGAGCTGGGGAGCTCATTGATCAAACACCATCTCCATTTTTCCTTTCAGTTCCACCCTTCAGGGCTTTAAGGTTTCACTGAGCTCCCCCTGTCTGGGGACCTTTTTCCAGTGGCATTTCCCCAAATCCCTTGGAGTTGGATCCATGCCCAGTGCCCCATGGATGGCACGTGGGTGACTGATGCCTGTCGATGAGATTGTTGCTGTTTGGAGAAAACATCAGGAGTAAAGTGGGAACATGGGACTTTCCTGAGTCAGACTCTCCTGGAGCTTGGCACATGATTATTTTTCCCTTCCTTCTTGCCAGCCGGTGCAGTAGGAAGTCATTTATGGTAATTGGCCCTGATTTGCATATAGGTGATGGAGTTGTGTGGGGCAGAGCACCCAGAACTGCTGGGGAGCTGTGCTGGGATCAAAGGGGGCCGTGCGGGAGCTATTGTCTGACACCGAGCTGGGGGTGTTGTTTGCATTAAACATTCATCACCCTCCCAGCCTGCCAGCAGGAATTCTGGGCTGGGCTGACATGTTTTCATGCAAAATTTATTGGGCAAGACGAGGGTTGTAAAGAGAGATCTCGTTGCCTTTCACCAGCAGCGGAGGGGGAATATTTGATTGGGAGGGAGGATTCCTCTGGCACGCTTGGGGCCTGTGTTACACCAGGAGCTGAAGGGTTGGGAAGGCTGATTCTGTCTCTCCAAGACCTTTTCCTCAAAATCTGACCTGCCAAATTCCATTTCTCAAGGAGCAGAAACGTGCAAACACAAAGTGATGTTCAGGGTGCTACAACGCTCGTTTAATTTGCACTGCTCAGGTCTCGCATTCAGGAGTTCTTGTTGGTTGTTTCAATTCTCTTTGGAGTTTATTTCAAAGAGGCTTATGAGGAAAATATAAAGTACATTGTTTTTAGTTTGTAGCTCAGGAGTCCAAAAGGAAAATACATCCAGTTTGAAAGTTTTGATCCCAAATATAATACATAAGGATAGCTACTGGGCTGGAAACCTTGCATGCCATGATTCAACCTTGATCTAATTCATGTTGTTGAGTTGTAAGCATCCTAGAGGAGGTGCTTCCAGGAGAATGGAAATGGGCAGCAGAAATGGGCTGGTGGGAATTGTACAGTCTGACCAAAAACCCATCTTAAACATGGACATTCCTAGAAAAACTGGAGAACTTCTTTAAAATATGTTTAAAATTAGCAACTGCGTTTTGCATGCTGAAACCAAACTACTCCATCCTGTGGTGGAAAGTAGTTTGAATGCTTATAGGAGAAATACCTTCTGTCAGAGGGGAAACCCTTTCCTTAATCCAAGAGGGTTTATTTTCAGTGTTTGGGCTAAATTACAAGGACTTTGACAAGTGCTTGTAGTAAAGTTTTAAGATGCTTGGGAGGGCTTCTTGGTTCCAGTGATTTCTTTTGGTAGCTTCTTGAAGAACAGGTTCTGAAACTGAATGACAACTTGAGCCCCTTTGTCCAGCCTGGGATACTCCAGTGACTGCCAGGCATGTGCTTGGACTCAGAGTGGGTTTTCCAGGATCTTAAGGATGTATTGCCAAGGTAAGGGAGTCACTTATCCACAGTAAAACCAAAATGCCTCTTCTATTGATTAATTAATAATTTATTCTTAACTCCTTTTGCCTTCCTTTCTGCCTGCAGGCAGAACCCAAGCATGAGGTGACTGGAGCAGGTAATGAAGAATTCATTGGAAGTGGGTCTGTGGGTGACCTCAGTGCAGAGAGATTGAATCCCTTGCCCTGTCAGGATCTGTGTTTGCTGATGGAAAAGGAGCTGAGCAGCTTGGGTTGGTTCCCTGCAAGGCTCAGGATCCTGGGAGCACCCAGGGAGTGCCCAGGGAACACCTGAGCATTTTTGGGGTGATGGGTGAGGAGTCCCATAGCTCTGCTGGCAGAGCTGCTGGTGCTGGGAGGCAGAAGGAAGCAGCTGAGAGGCCAAACCAGGACAGTTTCCTCCCAGTAAGTCAGCCAAAGGCTAATGGGAAGCAGAGGAAGGGTTTTTTCTGAAAAGGACTGAGACCTCCATATGCCCAGAGCAGCTCGAGGGTCACTTGCCTTTGACCGAGATTTGTTGCTATTGTTGTCTAAGCTGTGTTGGCCTTGTTTTTCTTTTTGTTTGCTAAAAATCCCCTTTTAGGACTCAAAAGACTGGCCATTTATTTAATGGGCAGCAGCATATGGGATGATTTCTTTTCCTTTCATTCCCAGACAGCTGGAAAAGTCAGCGTGGATGGGACACGGGGAGCAAAACTGTGCAGGAGGTGCTGGGGAACCACTGGCTCTGGAAAATAAATAATTTTAGTTCAGAGTAACCATTTCATTTTCATTCATTAAGTACTTTCTGTGCTAAGTACAAAAATCTAAGTTTTGTGTTCAAATTCTGTAGTTCAGACTTTCAGTTAGTGATGGCTGTCAAATGAGCTTCTCTGCTAAATTCATGGACTAT